TTCGCGCTCTCCAGGCGTCTCCTTGATGTCTTTCCATCGTAGTGGCGTTGTACCGACCTGCATCCAATCGGCCAAGTGGCGGAGTGTCTTCCACGATGCTGACAGTGATTTAATATGAGCCAAGTACGGCAACCTTTCGCTTCTCCTGCGAGGATTTAGCATCCAACTCGGTGTTACAGCGTGATTTTCAAACAACCTACGGGTCATGAATTTCCCATTCAGCCGCTACTGTTAGGTTCGGCTCGTATGCGTCTCCAATCAATGCGTATTGATCTCCATACTCCGGACTATGAGGGATGGATTTTGCAGACCACAGTGCAGGTACCGTGCCTTTCTTCACCGGTGCTGTGTCGCTCTTTGCATAGTCGGAAGACATGGCCGCTATTGGGACCCGCTAAGAGAAATTTCAAGGAAGAGATGTAAATCTCCAAAAATAACGGCTGAGTATACAGGGAAGGGTGGCACGAGAGTTATAAAGGCGCAAGGCGTATTTACGGCGTTTTTGGGGCCAAAAACTGGAGAAGGCTGAGGCTGAGACTTAAGCGCGGCGATCCTAGTTACTAGGTCGCATGTGGGAACAACTCGGGACGTTCACCGCCACACGCGCGCCTAAAAGTACACCTCAACAGCTAGAGCACGTGTTGGTTTCTTGCGTACACATGGGATTTGATCAGAATATTTCAGGCATGTCTGCGGATTGGCTGATGACCGCGCGAAAGTTCGACGGGGCCAAGTATAAGGAGGTGTCAGCTGAAACCAACGAGAACCAATGCAAGGTGTACGTATGCAAGTCTTAGGCCACCTGCAGCCAGTGTAGGCAACACGGATGCGAACATATTTGGAGCCGCATGAAGGCCGGCGGCAAACCAGATTTGGGGGCCAATCAAAAGATTTTCCAGTTGCTTTGGGATTGTATCCGTACGCGCACGTTATACGCCAAACGTTGGATTGACGTTGGGATGGTGTTCAGCCCGTCCCTTCGGACAGCACCGACGTTTCTCAACAAATCGCACCGATTCCAGCTCTCCTTATATACTAGAACGCAAGATGCCTAGGCTCCTCCGCACGCCACGAAGATCATCCGTGGGCGGGAACGCGGGGTGTGCTTCACCTCGGGAATCCAATATGGAAATGTTTTGCCTGGCTGTACCTATGCTGTATTTCTTAAGGCCTCAAATGAATCCTAGAAGCCTTCTGATTAGCAAACTACCTGGTCTGTCCTCGTTTTAACATGACACACAATATCTTGAAGCCGCGTTGGTCCAGGTTCTTAGGTCCCGAGTCCCCAGATCCTCGTGAATTTAAATACCAGCCTACAAACGAACCGATATTCACGTCTCCATACGGTCCCTTTCCGCCTATACCGGATGACCTGAACATCCACGAGCTTTGCTTCCCACCAGACAATCCACTACCTGAAGACTACCCTCTCATCATCAATGCAGTCACGGAGGAAGTGGTCACCCTTCACAGCTTCTATGCTCGAGTCTGCGCACTCGCACGTGTTTTGCGCCATGACGGACCAAATCCACTCGGCTTGGATAAAAGCCCTGTCGACGACACCGAAGAGGGCGAGATTCTAGCATTATTCTCACGAAACCATATCCATTACCCAATGGCAACACATGCATGTTTCCGGTCCCAATTAGTGTTTGGTGGTATCAGTCCGGCAAGTACACCGTACGAACTATGGTGGGTACTCAGAAAGATGCAAATAACGAGTATCATGTGCCACGAGACCTTACTGCCAGTCTTGAAAGAAGCAATCAAACTAGGATCCGGAGAGGGTGACAATCTCCCTCTGAAACTCAAACTAAACCCCGCAAAGATAATTGTACTGAGCGACAACCCGAATCTCGATACCGTATCCGGACACCGTACAATCGAATCCCTCGTAAAACAAGGCTCCCATCTTCCCGAGCACCCACGCAAACTTCACGGCGGAAACCGCATGGCCTACCTATTCCAATCCTCCGGCACATCCGGTCTCCCAAAGGCAATGATGATAACCCACACCAACGGCCTGTGCTCGGGCCTCCAGTCCCTGATAACCTCCGTCCAAACCGCCCGCTTCACTGGCAACCCACCCCTAACCCCCGTCACAACCCTCGGCGTAATCCCCATGTACCACTCCTACGGCATGATCGTCTGGATCCTGCGCATCAACCTCCTCAAAAACACAACTGTCATGCTTCCAAAATGGGACTTGCCCCTCGCTCTCCGCAGCATCCAAAAGTACAAAATAACGCATTTGCATTTTGTCCCCCCGATCGTCCGCCAACTCGCCCAGAGTCCCTTGACGGAACAATACGATTTGAGTTCTGTAGTCAGTGCTGGGAGCGGAGCCGCGTATCTGCCTCCAGATGTGGCGTACCAGCTCGCTAAGAAACTGCCGCAAGGTGCTGCGACACCGATTCCCAGCGGTTACGGACTCAGCGAAGCGGCCAGCATCGCTAATCCGGGTATCGCCGGTATTTTTGGGCTGAAACCTGCGTTACCGGGTACGATTGGGTATTTGCTATCTGGCATGTCTGCACGAGTTGTCGACCCAGACACTTTGAAAGATGTAGCCAGGGGCGACAAAGGCGAGCTCTGGGTGCGAGGCGCGGTTGTAACACCGGGGTATTTTAAAGATACAAAGGCGACGGCTGAGCTGTTTGCGGAGCCGGGGTGGCTGCGGACGGGGGATCTGGTGATGCGGGATGAGTGCGATCGGATTCATTATCTTGATCGGATTAAGGAGATGATTAAGGTGAAGGGGTTGCAGGTTGCGGCGACAGAGGTTGAGGATGCGCTGCTGGATCATCCCGAGGGGCTTGTAAGGGATGCCTGTGTTGCGGGGGTTGATAATGGGAGGGGCGATGGGTCGCTGTTTGTTCGTGCGTGGATTGTTCTTACGGCAGAAGGGGTGAAGCAAGGAGAGGAGGAGGTAGGGAAGAAGCTGCATGAATGGGTTCAAGAACGGTTGAGTCGGCATAAGTGGTTGACTGGTGGGATTGAGGTGGTTGATTCGGTATGTCTTTGGCTCAAGAAAGAAGTTTTGTTGCTAATGTTGTGTTTAGATACCCAGGACGCCATCGGGTAAGATGCTGAGACGAGAGATGAGGGATCGATATCATGAGCGAATGAAGAACAGTAGCAGGGCTAAGTTATGATTCAGAACATTGACATACATTACAAATCTAGCACCCAATACCTTAAGTATAACCTTCAACTCCCAGATCTTTATACAATCAACTCCCTGCAAACCCTGTATTCCGTCTCTTGTCCTCAGAAGCAATCAAGAGTCCCATATGCCAACCTCAGATAACCCGATCCTCAAATCTCCTTCACCGTTCCTCCTTGATAACTTTCTTCCCCTTCTTCCCCCTGTTCTTCTTCTTACTCTTCTTACTCTTACTTCTCTCAGCAGACCTAGCATCATCCTTCTCCTGTACCATCTCACCACCCTCATCACTGTCCTGAAATCCCTCCCAAACCTCATCCTCAGCCTCCAGACCCTCCTCACTCGTATCACTCTTCTGCTTCTCCACCTCCGCAAGCTTAGCCGCCAACTGCATATTCTCCTTAACCAGTACCTGGTCTCTGCGCTTCCTGTCCCTTTCCCTCCTCTTTATGTTCTTGATCTTCCTTTTCTCCACTTTATCATCCTTACTATTCTTACCCTCCCCACCCCCACCACCTTGCTCTTTCGCAACACCCCTCAGCATCTTCACCTCTTCCTTCAACTTCTTCGCCTCGTCCTTCAAATTCTTAACCTCACCCTTCAACCCCTCATTCTGATCCATCACCTCATCAAGCAAGCGCTGCATCTCCTCTTTATCACCCTCAAGGTCCGTAATAAGTAGCATCCGCTCCTCATCCTCTTCTCTTGGACCCTTCTGCATATCTGCCTTCAACCCATCATTCTCCCTCTTAAACGCCTCATTCTCCTTGCTCAACCTCTCCACCTCCTCCTTCAACCCCTCACCCTCCCTCCTCAGCCCCTCCGCCACCGCCCGAAGCGCAATCATCTCCTCCTCCATCCTCCCATTACACTCCCTCAACAACTGCATCTCCGTCTTGGCGCTCTCATCCATCTCCTGCGCTTTGGCTTTCCACATAGTGACTTCCCGGCGAAGAAGCGCCTCGTGCGTCGACGGCGTGATACCGTTTTTCTGTTTGACGGCGTCTTGGAGCTGCGCGATGTAGTCTTGAGTGTGCTCTTTGTCTTGTTGGAGGAGGACTTCGTGACGGCCTAGCGAGGCTTTGCCGAGGGCTTGTTCGAGAGCGTGGCGCGTGGCGGGTAGGAAGGTGTGGTCTTCTGGGGGTGCAGGGGGTGTGGAAGGAAGATGAGGGCGTGGTGATCTGGGAATCGCACTGTTCTTTGGTCGGGAGGCTAGAGATTTGGATGGGGTAGTCGGCACTGCGACATCTTTTGACGATGCTGGTTTGTGTGGCGACTGAGGAGCTTGACTCTGAGCTGGTTGGCTTGCTGGCTGAGAGAAAATGATGTCGTCCATTGTGCTCGAAGACGGGGCTAGAGACAGTGTCTGGATGGGTCTATTCACCATTTTTACAGTGTAGAGTAGGTTTTCTGTAAAAGCTGACTATCGTTGTCGAGACAGTGGTTTTGAAGAGGGTGACAGTTTACGATACGTGTTATGAATGCGGTCGAGTGAAAGCAAACGCTCTCATGATGAGCAGGCCGTGCAGGCATACAGTTTCGGAAATTAGGGTGAACGTGAATGTGAACCTGCTTCTCATTCAGCATAGAGCTATTACATGGTAGTTTTTGACACAAACGGTATGAGTTGCACAGAGAGTGCCAGGGCTCATAAATGAAGAGTAACGTCACCGTCGTTGAAGACCCCCAAACCTGCGAAGTATTTGCAGAGACACCTTCAACTCCATACACCAGTCACCAGAATTCAACAGGCCAGAAAATTATGTCTTATTCATAACTCTTTCGCTAATCCAGACATCAAACACCATACATAATGCCGCACAAACGAACCCCTCTATTTCTTCTTGAACAATCCCTTTCCAAGCAGATTCTTGAGCTTGCTTTCCTTTTCCTCGTTGCTCATGTTCGCTTTCCTCTTGCCCTCAGTCACAGACCCTCCTTGCGGTTGACTTGATTGCGACTGGACCGGGTCTTCGCGCGCGGGCTCCTCAACCTTCAAGGTTTGAGCTTTTGCCTGCCACTCCGATGCAAGTACATGCCGACTCGCCCTTGTCTCTGCGCTCGCGTTCTCGGCCCATTGGAACGTGACGAGTTCGTTGTTGAAGAAACGCAGATCCTGTACTAGTCGCTTGTCGTCTCGTGGGATCAGAACTAAACGACCTGTTGGGCCTGTGTTCTTGAGCTGGAAAGGCTCATTCTTCTTCTCTAAGAAGTCGCGAACAAAGTCGTAGAGACCAGCTGCAGTATCGTTCTTGTTAAAAGACATCTGAATAAGCGCACCATCGGGCATGCGTATCCGTAACGAACCACCCTTCTCGGCTGCTGCAGCGATCTTGGCTTGTCGTTCTTTCTCTTTTTCTTCGAGTTCTTTGTCAGAAAGTAGGCGAGTATTCTTAGTCTTATTTAGGAGCGCATTTTGATGCGCCTTTGCGTGTTCGATGGTCGGGAGGTAGTCACTCTCGTTGAAAGTATTTCGTGCTGCTTGTGGAGTCGACGAAGTTGGCGCAGAGAAGATTTGGACGTTGCGAGTCTTTTCGGCCGGCTGTGATGTATCCTGGGCAGGTTGTGATGAAGACTGAGAGGGCTGTGCTGGCGCAGCTGAAGCTGTTGAAGTTGCTGCCGCTAGGGCTGCAGCTGGAGAGGTGTTCTCGATATTCTCTGCTGCGTATTTGTCTGTTGAAACTTCCTGTTCTTGTGCAGGCTGAGCTGCAGTTTTTGGTTCAACTTCCATCGGCTCTGGATCGGGCTCATCTTTGCGTACAGTCTCACCAGCGATAGTTTCTGCTGCCTCAGGAGCGGCTTGGGTCGGGTCCGGTATCGAGGCTAATTGGCTGGTTGTTGAAGCATGCGCCCCCTCTGCTCCAGCGGAAGGCTCACTAGGCTTAAAATATTGTGATATCTGCGCCATAGCTTCTTCCAGAGGAGTGCCGCTATTTCTGTACGACAATTTCAGCAAAGCTGATCCACTGTCGAAACCCAACTGGCTAAGTGTCTGTTGTAGCTCGACGAAGCTTGACTGCTCTTTATGACCAGGCATGACGGTTATGACGGGCTGCTCGTAGTGTAACCTTCCGGCACCGGATGCACCACTCATTTCAGGTATACCGCGCTGAGTAAAGTTGTAGTTTGCCCCTGGGCTACTCTCGAAATGGCGCAGAATCTCCCATAACGAAGTGTTGCTCGCGAACTTGTTGGTAAGACGCACGTTCTTCTCGGTCGCTGGCAGCTGCAGCGCTACAGATATGACAGTAGGTGATCGTGATGCTTGGACGAGCTCTAATCGGGCGCCCTGGGGCAGGTTCGCAAGACGTATCTGCTGGGAGAGGGATATAGGCTTGTTGTTATATCTAGAGACATATTAGTGATAGTATTTATGTGCAGCACGGTCTTCCTCACTTTAATGTAAACTGGTCCTTGTTGACACCAAACTTCTGACACGCCTCATCCCGCACCTCGGTCAGGTACTTTGTAGGCGTAGTGGGAATTTTGAATGACCTCGCGTACGAGTTGAATACCACGACGTGCGACATTATGGGCGAAGCAGTCTATAGAGATTGTGTGCGAGAAGGAAAGCAGTGGGTGCGTTTGCAAGAAAGATGGCACGTAAGTACCAGCAATCCCAGCGATGCGCTCTTCGAGCAGAGTCGCTTCGTTCGACGAGGAGAAAGAGGGTGGCGAGGTGGAGGAGCTTTGCTTCTGCGAAACTTAGGAAGAGGTTGTTTGGGCCTGCCATGCAGAGGCGATTAGGGTCTGAATGCACGCAATGCTGGGACGGTGAACGCCAGGAGGGGCGCTTACCAATCCCGTGTGCGTATGTGGTTATGTATAGACTGTTGATGCTTTTCCGTAGAGACGTGGTAAAAGGTAGCGTTTGCCTCTGGAAGATGGCGACGGTGTTGATTTGAGAGCGTGTGCTGCTGGAAGTGATGTAAAGGGCGACGGCACAGTATAGATCGACGTGGAAGGGGACTCGGCGGCACCAAATCAAAGAGCCAAGTGTCTTGAGTAATCAACAAGACGGGATTCGGCTCTCAATCCGCAGCTGTAAGCAGGGAATATGGTGTTCTGGAAGCTTCGTTGTCGTGCCGCGTGGTATATCGGTGCCTGACTACTGACTGCCCATACCCATCTACGTTCGGTGATCGTCGGTGACGGAAGAGCGACACCCCGCCCCCACTAAAACTCAAGACCGTTGCACGTCGCGCCTTTCCCCGACGAACAACAACAACAACAACAACAGATTCCATCAATCCCCCTCGTAGAACCCACAAAAATGTCTGGAACTGTTGAAATCAAGTCGCCCGCTCAGCTGAGCTCGTTGCTATCATCTTCGCGCGTCGTAGTAGTCAATTGTAAGATGCCGCTGTCGCCGCCGCTGCGGCATACGTCCAAAGACACCACCTTGCCCTGTTTTTGCTAACATTTGCCCCCTGCAGTCTACAATGAACAAAATCTATCAAGCCAAACCATCGCGCCCGTATATGATCAGCTAGCCGGTCAGCTCTCAAGACCAGGAAAAGTCACCTTCACCAAAGTCAGCACAGTGCAGCAAGCACAGATTGCCCAGAGCTACAATGTCACAAAGTATGCACCTATACACATTACACAAACCCACAAGACACGGTACATCTAACCAAGTCGTCCATTAGTACCCCCACATTCATCATCTACAAAAACAACCAGCAAATACGCAAGTACTCGGGCTCGAATCCCCAACAACTCTCCGAGGCAATCAAGACACTCGCCGCAGAAGCCGAGAACGACAGCAAGGGCGGCAGCGGCTTCGCCAGTGGAAGCGGCAGCGGCAGCGGAAGCGGAGCATGGATAGGCGCCAGCTTACCACGCGGATACACCGACGTCACCGAGTCTGTCGATGTGCGTGGCCTCGACCTGCTCAACGCAGACAGCGATTTTGGAACCGTCCGGACGCTATTCGAGACATCACCACCCTCCTCGCTGAACAACGGCAAAGGCGCCGCCGCCAGCACAGAAGGAAACAAGGACTGGGTCGAGAGCGATGTGGACAACCAGCTCATGCTGTACGTGCCGTTTACCGCAAACGTAAAGCTACACACCATCCACATCACCTCCTGCACCTCAGGCAGTGACGATGATGACGACGAAGCCCCCGTGCGACCAAAGACAATCCACATCTGGATCAACCGTCAGCACAACCTGGGCTTCGAGGAAGCAGAAGACATCCCCGCAACCCAAGTCATTGAGCTTAAGCCCTCGGACTGGGACGAGCAAACGCAAACAGCCAAGCTTGAGCTCCGCTTCGTCAAGTTCCAAAACGTCTACTCGGTCGTCCTCTTCGTCGCCGATGCCGACGGCGACAGCGAGAAGACGCGCATTGACCGCATACGCTTCGTCGGTGAGACGGGCGAGAAGCGTGAAATGGGCAAGCTGGAGAAGATTGGTCACGACGATTGATAGCAGCAAACCTTCTCAATTGATAGACACGGACCCCCAAACCCGATTCGTCTTTTGTGAGCGTTTACATGTTTTCTTAATAGAGTAGACGTCAAAATGAATAATGTGACATGCTTCTCTTCTAGAAGCAAAACCAAAAGGACATGTCTTCTGGTCTGAATTCGACATTCGTAGCCCTTGAATACAATCCAGACTTGGTGCTGAGACCGTCTTGCACATCAGGCATACCTAATGACATGACAGTGCATGTGTACATGTATGTCCACGCATCTGCTCGAGACCTCACTCACACAAGAGTAGTGTGAAGCCTGAGCAGCCTTGTCTCCAAGTGCAGCGCGTTTCAATTTAAGCATTTCTCGGCCCTTACTCTGCCATTGATAAGGGCAATAGAGTAGGAATTTGACATCCATGCTAGTAGTAATACTTCACCACCGACAACATCACCATCACCACTACTGTACGACATCACACCTCATCACACACCATACGGCACATGGCACTCGGACATGGTGTTTTGGCGTGAACCAATCGTCACATTTCATGATTTTGAGTGACACATGCTAGGTACGTTTAGGAACCGTCACTGACCATTTGCCATACTCCGATAATCGTGCCATCCTTTTTGTGTATATAAGGTATGCTTTGTGACGTTCCGAAATCGTTGTGTCGAGCCGCCCGTTTGGGAAAAAAGAGACCGAACACCCAGGGACAGAATCGGAAAGAAGGTCGCTCGTTTCGCCGTGTTTGCTACATCCACCGCACATCATGAAACCGTTTAGTGACCCGCGCGCCTCGACTCGGCGATGACCTTGGTCATCTCGTCGACCTTTCTCTTTGAGCGGCCGAAGGTACCGAGCTGTTGCTATGTCAGTGTGTGTTCTGAAACTTGTGCATTGAATCGAGTCGGTGGGAAAATCGAATCGTATGTGGAGGCGCCAAGGGCGGAGGGAAGACGTACCCTCTTCTTAGCTAGACGACGAGCACGCTTGTCCTTGGAGTTTCGGAGCAATTCAATGATGCGCTTCTCGTAGGGGGCAAGACTGTAAGACACGATAATGTTAGCAAACTCTTGCACAAGCAGTTGCGCAATCTCGCGCTCGACTAAACTATGGAGTGTAACATACCCAGCAACCTCCTTGGTGATCTCACGGACGAAAGCAGTGCGCTTGGACAGGAAACCCTTCCTCCTGGAGATCCTGGGAGCAGGAGTCCTGGGAGTGACCTCTGTTGGCCATTGTTAGCGTCCATCCAACAATTTTTCCATCTCAGTTGTAGCGATTCGGGAGTGTCGAAGGCGGGTAGGCGGAAGACGTACTGTGGCCGGCGTTAATGCCAACGATGAGGCCTGACTTTTGCTTGACTTCTTTCGGCATCGTGACGGTCGTGATGTTGTCGATTGTCGATGGGTTCAAGGTCGTAGTTTTGCGAGGGTAATTTTGGCTCGGCTGTGCGGTGGTGCCAAGATGGCGCTAGCTGTAAGCAGGCACGTGCCCTGGCTGGAGCTACCGACGGCAGGAACACCAGGAACACCACACGCGAACTTGATGTTATCTCAGTGTGGAGCTTTTACTTTTTTGGCACGCTTATCTTGATTGTTGGTTTTGAAAGTTTAATGCGACTGCAAAAGGCTGTGCCGATTTTCGCGATGAACACGTGCACCGATGCGGAGAAAGGGGGCGCCTTTTATCGCGAAAGTACCAGCACGCTTTCGTCCAATTGACCAGGATATCAAAGCATATTTTCGACATGACACACAGCCTTGAGATTTTCGTCAAACAGACCTTTTATGTCTGACACGAACCTTTGCCTCACTTGTTCTAGATAATAATTGAAATTCACTGTTTCTCAGAAATGACAATTGCATGTAGGCATTCCAGTTCAAAATAAGTGTACAAACTACAACTTTGCCTTCTCCTTGGCCTCTTCCTCTTCCTGCGCCTTGAGCTTGAGCACCCTCCTCAAGATCTTACCGCTGATCGACTTGGGAATCTCATCTACCCACCTCACACCGCCCCTGAGTCTCTTGTGGTGCGCCACCTTTGTGCTCAACCAATCTATAATCTCCTTTGCGTCTGCGTCAGTCTTGCCAAGACCATCTTTGGGTACAATGTAAGCTCTTGGCAGCTCTGTTGCGTCGTCTTTGCTGTACACGCCTATCACTGCCACGTCGCTAGAAAAAAAAATGTTAGCAAGCATTCAAAGTGGAGTATATCGGTACAACATACTTAACCTTCGGGTGAGAGACTAGAATACCCTCAAGTTCTGCCGGTGGCACCTGGAAACCCTTGTACTTGATAAGCTCCTTGACACGGTCTGTGATGTAAAAATTGCCGTCCTTGTCTTGGTATCCAACGTCACCAGTCTTGAAATACCCGTCGGCTGTCTTTGCGTGTGCAGTTCCCTCTGGGTTGTTCAGGTACCCCTTGAAAACGTTGGGTCCCTTAATCCAAAGCTCTCCAACCTCGCCAACGGCCATCTCTTTCTCATCCGGAGACATGTACTTGGCTGTCTGATAAGGCAACAGTTTACCAACTGAGCCAATCGTCTTGTTCCAGTCTTCCCATGGCTGGGTATGAGTGGTGGGACTGGTTTCCGAAAGGCCATATCCCTGCTTTACAGGAATCTTTAGCCTGTTGTAGACTGCATCGACAAGCTCTCTTGTAAGTGGGGCAGCCCCAGAGTTCATCATACGGATGGTGCTGAGATCGTATTTGGACACCAAGGGGTGCTTGCTCAAAAGAAGGACAATGGGTGGGACGACATAAGCAAATGTGATTTTGAGTTCTTGGATGAACCTGCAAAAATCCTCAAGGTCAAACTTTGGCATCACAATAAGCTGAAGGCCGGAGAACAAGCTCTGGTGGATCAGACATGTCAGGCCTGTAGATTGTTAGTGGGTACTTCCTGGGTTCAATGCATTATACCCAGCCTACCGTAGATGTGGAAAAAAGGCAAAAAGGCAAGTAGCTTGTCTCCTTCACCGGTGGGTCCTCCAGTGGGCTTCAGGTTACCAGCCTCTCCAGCTCTAATCATCATTGTGTTGGCCACAATATTTCGATGGGTAAGCATGACGCCCTTTGGATGGCCAGTAGTGCCAGAGCTGTACACCAAAAACGCCAGATCCTCAGCTGGGTTGGTCGCCTTTGTCCTCCTAAACCTGGCACTTCCAGCCGTGTTGATGATACCTGTAAAGTGCTTGACTTTGAATGAAGGGTCTCTCTGATCTCCCATGATAATCACCCTGTCCAGAGGCATTCCGACTTTCCTTGCCGCCTCTTGCGCATTTTTGATAAAGGGCAACTGTGTTACCAAACCCTTTGCGCCAGAGTCTTTGAGCTGGAAAGCAAGCTCATCAACCGTGTAGTTTGGGTTAGCAGGCGACAGGACACCACCTGCCCAATGACATCCCCACGTGATTGCTGGAGTGTCGATACAGTTAGGTGTGTACAATGCAAGCACATCACCCTTGCGCCAGTCCCAGAGCGCTTTCAAGCCTTTACCGAAAGTAATAGCAGCATCCTTGACTTGTGCGTATGTATACGAGCGTGTGGTGTAGGGGTCATAGTAGATTACTATTCAGCCACGTCAGCTCGGTGTCTAGATAAAGCAAGGTCGTGATTAATCGTAAGACTACCTTTGTCATCTGCAAACGGCTTTTCCTTTCTCTCAAACAGAAATGCCCACTAGGAATGTCACCCGAACGTCAGCACATGGAGTCAGGGTGCGAGCTTGTTCCTGGGGCAGGAAGATACTCACAAGATCCACATCTGGGATGGGCAAGCTGGGGTACTGGCTCTCGGAAGGCATCTTGGCAATTAAGTTGATGATGTACTACTCGGCTTACCGTAGACGAAGTTACGGAAGAAACAGGATGTAAAGTGGAAGGAATCCAAAACGAGAAAGGCAGACGCGTTCTACATGGGACCTCGGGCGGAGCGCCCTACGGTCGGAGGCGGCTTGTCAAGGGCGTGAGACGATGTTAGAGCCGGGGTTCACCCCACACCGAGTGAGTGTCAGGGCCGAGGCTCTTTCCGCTTTCAGTGTTAGCGCGGAGATAGTAGCTGGGCGCTTCCCGAGGTCCTTTATTGCGGTGTGACGTCCACCGTGAATGTTATCTGATAATATCAACATTACCCATATAAAGGGCGCCGAGAAATACATACTCAGTCCAACATTTGACAGGTCGCTATCATGCCGGGTTGGCGCGAAGCTACCGCGGTGCAGAAGCTCTCCACCAACACCTACTCCTGTACACTACATGATGATTGGTGCATCGGAACCGGTACGTACAGATCCGACATACTATCACAATGGGTCATTTTTACTGATATGCGCAGTTCCGAACGGTGGATATGTTACTGGATGGTGAGAGAATCTTAAGAATGCGCGTACGCGTCCACTAACCATACCATGTCAGTCTCCTTGAGGTAGTCAAGACACATTTCAGCACCACCTTATCGGCACAAAACCAACCCCACACAATTGCCCTGCATGTGGAGTTTCTGCGACGAACCCAAGTCGGGCCAGCGATCTTCACTGTTGAGGATGTCAAGCTTGGTCGCCAGACCTCGGTCGTGCACGTGAGCATGCAGCAGGACGGGCGACAAGAAATCGTTGCCTACGTGACTAATTCCAACATGGACACGGAATCTGGCGTCTCGTACGACACAGAGTACCAGCTCTCGCCCCCAGTAGCTTCTGTAGATATATCAAAGCTAGAAAGAGGTGAAGATCCGTTGTGGGAACGGTATGCCGAAATGCCATACGCCAGTTTCCGAAAGGCGAGTAGCAAAGTCCTATTCCACTTTCCGCGACAAGGCCATGCTTCCACAAACACGGCAGACGAATGGCTCTGCTTTGCAGACGGCAGCAACTTCAACGACTCATCGATTGGATTCGTGGCAGACATGTTTCCCCTGCTTATAGAGAGGTTCAAAGAGAAGGACACAGGCCCGTTCTGGTACCCGACTTTGCTGTTGAATCTCGATTTCAAGAAGTCGCTGCCGCCCGAGGGCGTCAAGTGGCTGCAGGTCAGGGTGCAGATGAAGAAGGTTCTCAATGGCAGGATGGACATCGAGGCGTTTGTGTATGATGCCGAAGGCGAGTTGGTAGCTCTAAGCCATCACGTGGGACTTGCTGTAGACGCTAGCAGGAACACGGCTGCGAGACGGGTCGGCGATGCCAAGATGTAGAAGTGACGTAGGCTGTATGCATGGGAACCGATTTACAGAAACATGACGAGCGGTAGACGCGATTTACCATGACAGCACGGATCCCGCATAATTGCATCGTAGAGTACTTGCATGTCAACGAGATAGACACACAGTTGGGTAATAGCTTAGGAATTTCTTTTTTTGATTGTTCGAATTTGCCATACATCCCGCAGTAATTGAGGTCCTTAGATGTAGGTAACGCGTGATTGTGTATTTTTCATCTCTTTTTCAAACGCCAATGATGCCATGCACACGGTATCTGTCGCACTCCAGCAACACAGTTCCAAGCTCATATGTATTCTCTCGACAGTCCAATCAAAAAGCGCTTATTTGCCCTTGGGGTTGTTGTACTGCTGCTCGTAGAACTTGTCTGGCCAGACGGGCTATAACATGGCGTGTTAGCTTTTATCCCCACACACGGACCATGTCTCATAAGATAGCTCACCTCGCTCTGCTGACTGCTAATGTTTGCCTTGAAGTACTCCGAGTCAGGGCCTTTGCTGGGACCACCATGTCTTCCGTCGTTGGCCATGGAGCTACCTGCACATGGATGTCAGTAAATTATGCGTTGACTTCCAGATGGTCAATCTGGGGCTCCAAAGTACCCGTACCGCGCTGGCTCGCAACAGCGGGAGTATGTGTGGGCGAGGCGCCGCCGGAAGAGAAGCGGTCCTCGATGTTCTGCACGCCCTGGGTCTTGTAGGGGTTGGGGAACCAGTATTGGCGCATGTAGAGGTAGTAGCCGAAGCCGACAGCACCGCCAGCCATGAAGATTTTGGGCACGGAAAGAGGAGACATGGTTGCTTGTGCGCTTTGGGATCTGTCTAGTTGCACTGGCACGGGTGTGGGTGTGGTGGTGTGAAGGTGTGATGTAGGCGCGTGATATTTTTTGAGAATGTCAAAGGTGAGCAAGTGAGGTCGGAATGCAATTGAGACTTGGGCTTGGGGTTTATTCAAGAAACAGGGCAGCTTTTAGACTGTGGAGAAAGAAGCAAATAGTGCAACCGGTCCCGAGATCTGGGCGACTCTTCTATCCCGTCAATTCATATACCCAATTGCACGCAACGGGGAGGCGTTGTGTTTGTATCGCGATGATCGCGTCATGGCTGCGTACTTTGGGCAAAGCTTCCTTCCGAGGACACTCAGACCCACCCTCGGAAGGAACTGCTGTGCCACACCTCTGCTCGCTGACGTAATGCGCATGTGGCTCACCACTGTGGCTGGTGTTTAATTTTAGTCTGGTTGGAGAGCCCTTGGGGAAGTGGACACGCTATCTTGCATGGAGAATTGATTACCTTGCCCCCTTTGCGCCCACGCGACCGAGGGTTCTTAAGAAGAGACGGGATTGAACTTTGCGTGGACACTTTGTTCAACGAGCTTCATGACTGCTCGACACAAGAAAAGCTGGGACGCAGCCACGGCCACTACACTCCACGCGCAATCGAGATATGGACGGTGATCCTGCCATCGAGCCGGAAATCGATGGCTTCACTCGGATCCTACCCTTACCATACCGCGTCGCTCTCATAATTGTGCTTGGTATGCATAGCCCTGTTAGCGATTGGCTGTCACCCAGCCTTCCGCTACCCTTCCTACACCGCACGCCTCCAATGTTGCTTGCGACTGACAACCTCCACAGGCATATGGGCATGGGGCCTCAACCTTCACTACCTCTCCATTATAAAAGTCGACGTCCCCTCTCTAATCCGCTATCCATCGCGCGCCTCGCCGCACCACCCACCGCATCACCTCTCCTGCTACCGTATCGCAACCTTCCTCTCCATCCCCCTCGCCCTCTCGCTACTCCTTTTCTGGGCGCTTACCCACGGCAACCCCAAAGCCATTGCAGATTGGGAGATCCTTCCAAACCTCTACCTACTCGTCCTTGTCATAGGCTTCATCGCGCCAGTGCCTTTTGTTAGCCGCAATGGACGCTCGCGCACACTCGCCACGTTGAAGCGCATCAGTACTGGTGGCATTGCCGAAGCGCAAGATGGGAAATTCGGAGACATATTGCTTGCAGATGCGTTGACAAGTTATGCCAAAGTCCTTGGTGATTTGTTCATTTCATTATGCATGTTTTTCTCGTCGGGACAACGATCTACTGCCGCGCCTAACCGCAACTGCGGTGGAACTTTCTGGGTCCCCTTTATCATCGCGGTGCCCTACCTGATCCGCTTTCGGCAATGTATTACGGAGTACTACCGTGTCAAAAGAGGAAATGAGCGTACTGGCCAGATCAATCCGACCACCGGTTGGGGAGGCACGCACTTGGCCAACGCAGCAAAATATTCGACTGCGTTCCCCGTGATCATCCTGAGCGCATTGCAGCGCTCGCCGGACCCTTCGAGCTTCGGTGTCTCAGAAGCCACGCTCTATCGCATGTGGCTCTTCGCTGTCATTGTAAATTCTGGCTACTCCTATTACTGGGATGTAGCAAAAGACTGGGATCTGACGCTCTTCTCTAGTGCCCGCACCCGAAATTCGCCCGAATATCCCTGGGGCTTACGTCGCCATCGTTGGTTCCACGCAAAAGAGTTTTACTATGCTGCCGTTGTCGTCGATGCTTTGCTGAGATGTACATGGAGTCTGAAACTTAGTGTACACCTCGACCACTTCAATGATTTGGAAGGCGGCATCTTTACGATGGAAGTGCTCGAAGTGGTCAGGAGATGGATATGGATCTTTTTTCGTGTGGAGACTGAGTGGGTCAGAAACCACAAGGGCCCGGCTACCGATGATGTTTTACTAGGGGATGTGGGTGCAGGGAACAGGTATGATGATGATAGTGACTAGACGACTAATCAGTCTTCAAGTGTATCGTACTGGTCCATATTCACTGCTGCACAATGCATGTACTGTTATCTCAAAAGGGCAACTCGACGCTCTAGGCTGATCCACGGGTATTTTCTATAGCCTAATTCCCTATCGCATCGCCTATTTTTACCAGGTTTCAATCGCTATACGAAATCAAGTCTGCACGAATTGCATACCATATTGGGACTAGCGTATATCATCATGCTACCTCAATGATTCGAGTTGTAGCCAGTTTTTTTGGGGGCGCAATCACGAGTATTATACAATACTTTAGTTACTTCGGCAGATTCCATCGTTACATCCTTGGTTAGGCACCTTACCAGGAGAGTGCTTTATCCAACCCGTGCTTCATTAGTCACAGCCCTAGAACCAACAGTACGATGGTGTTCCGCGGAATCCCATCTAAAGCCTGCGAAAGGTGCAGGAAGAGAAGATTACGCGTACGCTCCGCATGGAATTATTACTGTTCAGAGCTTAACTTGACCCTAGTGTGACCTACAACGCCCCCATTGCAGCTCGTGTGTACGCGTAGGAATAGCATGCAGCGGGTATCGAGACACCTCTGAGTTGCGGTTCACTGATGAATCTGAGCTTGTTAGGAACAGATTCCTAGCAAAGGCGAATAACGAAGCTATTACACGGCAGAACCTGGGCACTGATGGCATACCCAAAATCAAAGTCCAGCACCTGCCTCAAGACATACAAGTCATAAGTCGCGACATGTTCTTTAGGTACTATGTCTCGGATTTTGGTCGGTCCTGGGGTTTTCTGAACGACTATCTCGACTCGCCCGATGCCCCAGCCCATATCACGCTTGGTATCGAAGCAGTCAGCCTGGCGTTCCTGTCCCATCAAGTCTCATCACAGACGGCACGGAATCTTGGACGCAGAAAGTACTGCGAAGCACTCCGTAGCATCAACGCATTGCTTCAGACACCCGGCGCAGCACAGGCGAAGTCCACGTTCGAAGGCGCGCTCCTCCTCGACCTCTTTGAGAAACTCTCCAAATCCGCGTCCGCCGTCGGAGACGACAAACACACACACGTCGCAGGCGCATTTGCGCTTGTCAAGCTCAGGGGCGTGGAATCCTTCACGGCACAGGAGATAGCAGCAGTGACAGGTCTATCTTTAAACGGCACACTCACCGCACTCAGCACAGGCAGAGCAACGGACACGATCATTCGCCAGATACGCCACCACGCCACCCAATTCCTCGACACCTCCGACCCCAAATGGAAGCTCACGGGCCTCATCCTCGAAGCCACAGACCTAGCCGCCTCAGTTCGCCACGGCACCATAACCTCTACCGAAAAAATATCCAGAAACATCCATCTAGACACCGAACTCGCCGCCATCGCCGAATCCGCCTCCCCTTTCTGGACCTACACCTCCCACCCCTTCCCCAACGCCGACCCCAAAGGCGCTCTCCCCGCCGGCCTCCCCCCAACCTACACCATCTACCCCTCGCGCACCATAGCCCAAATGTGGAACGTCCTCCGCCTAACCCGGATTCTCCTCTGCGAAGAAATCCTCGCCTCCCTCGCCTTGACCCCCTCTTCCCCCTCCACCCTCCTAACCGCCTCCAAAGCAAGCACAACAATCCACCAAATGACTAGCGAAATCTGTGCCTCACTACCTCACATGACACACTGCTCCTACGCCGCCCGCCACAAGCTGCTCGGCGGCGAAAACCCAGACAAACAGCATACACACACAGTCCCGCACACACTAGACGTCTACGTCATGATCTTCGCCATCTACGTCGTAGCCTGGGCGCCCCATGCGCCCCTCCAGAGTCGCGACTGGGGCGTCACCCAACTAGAGAATATGGCGACGCACTTTGGCAGTCAGGAAGCGAGTGTTATACTCGAGGTGCTGCGCAGACAGCGAGAGGGCAAGATGGAGAGTACGAGGTGCGTTGCCTTGCGTCGTGTTTTCTGTTTCTTCTTTTCCTGTCTGAGTTGGGGGCTGATTTTTTGATTCGTTTGTCCGGTTTTTTTAGGACTGAGAGTGCGACTGAGACTACGACGCGGAGTGCTGCCGAGGTTAGGTATCCGGATAGTACGGCGTTGACGCTGGGTTTGCCGATTGATTGGTATATGGGTCCTGGGGATTCTGCGTCGAGGGGTGGGTGAGGATGGTGGGGGCGCGGGATAGAGGTGGGATAGAGGTGGGAAGGTGGATGGGGGTACTGGATTGCTAGGATTGAATAGAGAAGGGTTTGCATCAAAGCGGGTTTATTTGCATAGCGTAGGTAGGGGAGTTTTTGGGTCGGTGGGAGATGGAAAATGGGAAAAAAAAAGGGGGGGAAGGCGGGAGGTGCATGTAAAGGATTCAATAGGTGTATGATGAGCGGTATGAAAGAGAGATAGAGAGGAATGCATAAATGGCGTAGTTTGTTGATATCTATCTTTTTAAGCATGACAAGAGACATGAATATGAGTCTCTGTATTGAAAAGGGGGACAGACCATATCTGCGAGAGAAAACAACCTCAGCAACACAGGTAGTATAAAAAATGGTAGGTAGAAGCAGTGTAATGTTTAGATTCGTATTAGCTTTTAGACATCCTCCTCCCGTTTTCCTTCTCCCTCCTCGCCTATCTTCTTACACCATCATCTCCTCCCCTTCCACCCACATCATCGCCACACCTCATTAACCCCCAGATGGACATGAAGTTTTTCCCTTCGCAAAGAACAAACTCCTCAAAGTGGCCTGATACCCCCTCTCGTAAATCGAAGGAGGTGGTGCCAATGAATCAAGAGAGAAGACGAAAATAAAAGACAAAAAACAAGGTGGATGGCAAGAAAGCGCAACCACCATCGCCATGGCCACGCAGTACACAGGACCATCGCACAGTCCGCCTAAACGCGTGTCTGAAAATTCTAATGTGGGTTGAAAAGAGAGCGCAAAAAAAGGAGGTAATATATATAAACAGGTATGCAAGGTAGAGTACAGAGCAGGCCGGGCATGATGGGGGACA